AAAAACGCTTTTCTCTAAATAGAGGTGAGATTATTGATGGTGGTGGTGGCATTTCCTGTGGAGAGCCCTGGGAGAGAGACATCCCACCCAACTGCCCTTCCCAACTAATTGAGCTGTGTCAAAAACAACATGACTTTTTCAGTGTATTGTCTACTCTGCTCCATCAGAAGTCTGACACAGAGTTTTATTCTACTTATAAAGCCTTATAATATTTCTGCCTGCTCTGAATGTTGTTACACTTCTGAAAAGCTGCTTGTATTTACACAAATCTCTCGCACTGTTGCTACTTCAGGGGTCTAGTCTCAGTTTTCCACACATTTCCCCCCAGATACTTGTGCTTGCCTGAATCTGCCTGTGTATTTGTAGAGTGCCTTAAGAGAACTGAGAGCAATCTCTTACTTTATTCCTAAAGCACTATATATACACACCAATTCTGCATCATGAGTCATCATTCCCTTCCTAATTCCCCTTAATGGCAAACTTATTTCAGGTTCACATCAGAGAGAAAATAGAGCCTCTAAATTTGGATGATGTGATTTAACACTCAAATAGGAAGCCAAGCATACAATTTGCTTTCTAAATAAATATAATTTTACATTTGATCAGAGGATTTAAAAATCAGAACTAAAGTCCAGGCTGTGTTCTCAGTTTTTACACCCGCATCTGTACATTGTTTATTTTGCAACAGAGCTGCTCCAAAGGCAGGGGTGAGAGACAGAAGAATCATGCCCCACCAGCACAGTTTTTCTACAAACAAAGCTCTTTAATACCCATTCTCTGAGTTTCCCTCCATGCTGCAGATTCTACCCAATAAACCCTACATTTTCAAAGTCTATTCTACATTTTCTTAATTCTAATTAAACAAATCTTAATCTTGACTTTAATGGCTGCAATTATGATACTTCATTATGTTAAATGTTAGTTGCAACATAAGAATAAATTGTATAAACAGTTTAGCTGCAATTGCATGGAGTCTAACTGTACATTACTCATTAACAAGATGTGGGTAGCAGCAATTATAACATTTCCTCCTAATGTCCCTATTTATTGAGTCTCAGCAGCAAGCCCCCTTTTCACAACACACACTGATTGACGATAGCAGCTTTTGTACTTGTGAAGAACAGGCACAGTAACCTGCTGTGTGCCTGTAACTCAGATCGATGGAAGTACACATTAGCTCTTAGCCTCACAGGCCGGAGTTCCTGAAGGTCAAAATAGCCATCAGCATCACTGTAGGGTACAGAAATCATTTCACAAATTGTGAACAAAAACAACACAACTTGCTTTGCAGTTTGATTATTGTTTATAGATACAGCAAGCCAAAAATTAAAGCATAGCCTTGAGGCAGCGTAATTATTTACAGCTGAAGACTCATATCATTATTAGCGTGCTCCTAATTGCTTGAAGTTATATCAATGTTAGCTGATTTAACACATCTTTGATAAGAGGCATGGAAATTGTTTTCTCTGCATATGGAATGTTGGATTGTTTATTTTTTTAGGGTCTTCCCTCCTATCCTTTCTTTCAAACTGTCCCTTGTTTGCCATTGGAAAAAGCCCCACACCCATAAATTCTCCTTTATTCTGGATGTCAGTAACTATCACTGCAGAGCTTTGTTGTGTTTCTGTGGAACCATATATTTGAATTTAGCTGGACTAAAACCATGCCAGGTTTTGGCTTTCACTAACAGACTTGATAATTTCACATCGATATCAACTAACCAGAGAATAAATCACACTTTGGGTGGCATATCCTAATATTTCACTTTTTCCCTACAGCACTTGAGCCAAAAGGCAGCTGAAGAAGAGCAGTGCTAGTCTCCTCATGAAAGCCAGTTGGGAAAATCTCATGGACTGAAGTGGCATTTGCATTGCGCTTCACATACACCTTTTTGAATACTAGAGTTATCTACTGTAACATCACTGCATCCAGTTGCCCTGACCTACAGAAAAGACAAATTAGGTTTGTTATTAATAAACCAGAGCAACAAATCATCTAGGAACTTTTCATTTCACCCAACCTATAATCTGTCACTCAATTTGTTCCTCTCATTCAAGCCAGGAGAGCTGCGAAACAATGACACAGGCAAAGCCTTGAGCTTCTGCTGGCCAAACAGCAGCAGAGGTGAGTTAATATTGGTAAGAAGAGGAAGCAGGGACTCTCTGGAAGGCAGGCTGGGGATACTGCTGATAAAAATCACAGGGAGAGGTAAAGCTTTCCTCACCAGCACTGAGTAAAGGGTGCATGGGTAACTCTAAGTTCACCTGATTTCAGAAATGTAAAATCTGGCTTTGCAATCTTAAAAACCTTACTTCAGCAGCATACGTAATGCAATACAGATTTCTCAAGGCAAATCAAATACAAATAAGATCTAACTTCTGTAACTTCCTTCATATTCTATAATTGGAGCACTTGAGCTTTAATCTCCACATCAGGTATTTCTACTCAAGTCACACTGGTTGGCAGCAGAAAGAGGCCATTATTTTATGATGAGATCCAGGCAAAAGCAGTGAGTGTTGCCCATGGACCTGCAGTGGTCTTCATATCACTTTGCACAGCAGCATGGAGACCTTGCCTGAAAGACCGCGCTCCCAGAAGGGTGAGCTCAACCCAAAATGGAGAAGCAGCAGCAGACAGCAAGAGGACTTTTAGTTCTGCTTTTCTTAGCAAAGTGAAGACTGATAGGGACAGGACTGGCATCAGGGGTGAGCAGAAATGTAGGAAATAGGGTCATTTTATTTCTACCCATGTTATGTCCAGAGTTTAGTCAGCTCACAATAGTAATCCTGTTATAGGACTATCAGGGATTCTGAGGAACCCAAGCACGTCTCTACTTCTCACCTAAGCACGGGCTTAATTTTATGTACAGAATTCAAAGTAATTAATCACACCCTTTGCTGAATTTTGGCTCAGTCACCTAAAGATTCATTTAATTGGGCTAATTCTCTTACAGAAGTGTAAAAAAGAAGAGGTCAAATAATTACAGACCGGACTATTTCAAAATAATGGTCCAACTGATGGAAGTTACAGCATCTGGCTACTGAGAGGGGTGATGCTAGCTGAATTATATATTACTGTTTCCAGCAAAGAAAATATTCCATTTTTGTCTGTGAATGGGGAAATAAAAGACTGCAATAGCATGTGAAACTGTCATAACAGCTTTTCACAGCTGAGACACATTAAATTACCAGCAATCAATATCTTGAGAAAAACTTAAAAGAAATAGATTTGCTAGGAAGGAATAAAGAAGCGCACTCAGTTTTAACTTGGAGTTTTAGTTTGCCCAGTACTAAAGAAGTCATAACAGCTGCATAGACTGATACTAAGAGAAACAGAAAAAAAAGCCCAAACCTACTGACTTCACAGGGGACTTTGCCTGGGAACAAAAGAACGCAGCTTTTAGGAATTAACTTTAGTACACACAGCATGGCATTCAGAGAAGAAATAAAAGACGATCAAGAAGCTTATGCAGGCCAAGTAAGAGCATGTCTTGAGGCTGCAAAAGACCAATCCTTTGCTATTCCTCTCCCCTATGATTAAAAACTAAATGACTGCCTGTTCTTCCTTGCTAGGTGCCTGGTACTCTTAGCATGTTATAAATGGATCTTCTGCAACCTGGCCTGATTTCCTGAGCTGACAAATCATGGATCCTGTGACGACACATGGATTTTCTGCTGCATGACTCATGTGCCTAGTACTTCTTAACAGTTTTTGTTTTCTGAATCTAGCTGGAATCTCATAGAACTAACAGTCAAAGAGAGCTAATACAGTAAATGGAAACTGCTGTCAGTATGAACCAGATTAGTCAATCCCTATAGCACAAGTGAATTTCAGATAGCAGCTCAAGCATGACCACTATGATCACAGCCTAGTGTTTATGTATACACAGAAACAATGAAGTGGCCTGGCAATTACTGAAAATACATTCCTCAAGCTTTCAGGCTATGCCAAGCTTAAAATTGTGGTCAGCTCATGTGTGAGAAACTAGATCGACTTGGATTGCATTGCAGCAGTTGTAATTGAAGTGTATATTTTGCCTTTCTAGAAAACTTTCAGTGCTAAGTGCACAGCAGCTTAAATGACCGTGACATATAGCACTTTCTGTGCCTTCAAATCTCACAGGTATACAGCCGTGCCACCTCTTCCCATCTCACACATGCCCCACTGGCACAACCAAACACCACGCACAACCTGTCCTCTTCAAAGGCATGAGGGAGCCAGACCCAAGCTCACAGCCCTCAGTGATTGGAGCCCCTGGGATTTGCTGTGACTAGTGATGGAAAACACACAGGTTCGGAGCAGTCTGGCCCTGCCCCAGTCAACAGGAGCTCTGCCATTTCCTTCAGCTGGGCTAGGGTCATAGCCTGCAAGTTCACACAAGCAGCTCAGAGTTTACTACTTATAATAACATCTACCTACCACAGTGAAGTTTTCAAAATAAGGAAAGAAATGCCTCTTCTTCTCTTTTTCTTCTTCCCCAACCCCTCTTCCCCGCACTCACACACACACCCTGCTAAGTAGCCTGACTACTCTTTTTTTTTTATTGGAAGCTCTGGCTATTATAGCTCCTTTTTTATTTTAGTATTTCAAAGAGTTCAGCCAAATTTTAAATCTGTATCTATGTATTTTTATATATTATTTATATACATATATAGAAATTTCCTCCTCTCATGTATTGCTCTCTTCCGTGGTCACTCTGGCTGCTGGCAAAGCTTGGCCACCCTCATCCTTTCCTCAGTGCCTGGCTGGGGCCCCAAAACACTGCATTCTGCTCCCTGTGCCTCTCACCCTAGCCCTCCTCAAGATGCTCTACTATAGGCTGGCAGACAGTGATCTCATTCCCACCTTTGTAATATTTTACAGTTATTGACTTCTGCTGAAAACACTGACTTTTCCTCAAATTTCCTCCTTATCTGATATGTCAAAAGACTTCTGCAGAAAGTAATTTACTTAAGGTTCAATTCAAAAGCAAAGTTTCTATATAAAGAAGTATTGAACGGAATTTTTAACCCAGTGCTAATTTAGTTGGTTAACACACATTCCTGCAGCTTCCCTGACAGCTATACCAAAGAAAATTAAAACCAGAACCAAACACTTCCTCACCTCTCCCTGATAGAGCCAAGGCAAAATGCATGCACCAATGATCTCGGAGCTCTTTCAGTATAGGAATGAGCAGATTGTATGGGCTTTTTTTTAAACAGAATTATACAACTCTGGACTTAAATTTGGGTGACAGATGAAAAGAGATCCTACCTCTTCCATTCCTGCTTCCCAAAATTTCTAAGCTGTAGTATTTGTTATGTTTACCAGTTTACCCAGTTTTGCCTACCAAAGCAGTCTGCCTTGTTTTTCTATTTTATAATTCAGTTTTGCTTTGCAGTATTCAAGCAGCAGTATCAGACAGCAATGGCTGGGCTGGAAAAACTGAAGGGGAAGCCACAATTGAAAAAACTTCATCAATTTAAATCTTCTACCGTATAAAACTAGTGTTCCAGTTTCCAAACTAGTATGAAACTAGTGTATCAGTGGTGTTCTACTGAAATTTGTGTTGGAGAGGAGAGAAGCAATATACAAATTTTACTTGCTCAAGAAAACAAAGCAATATTTTACCCATTCAAGGAGATTCCAGTATGCGTTACCTGGAGTAAAGTTTTCAGTTAAATAGTTCTCTTCTCTAAAAAAGACATCAACATTTTTAATTACAAAGTTATTCAGGGAAGAAATTTTATTTTACACACCAAAGTTAAGGTGACTTTTAGTGGGTGAAATGATATGTCAGAAGTTGACTTTTCTTGTTACTGTATCATCTGGCCTCCAGATCAGAATAAAACATTTTTGCTGAAACTACTTCCTCCGGCCAGTTTTTCTTGCAGAAATTTGTTCTGAGGCGTTTCCTGTCAGTGTTTCCCATCGTTCTCCAAAGTTTGCATTCTTTTAATATATATAAGTTTTACTGTCCATGGCAATAAACATCATTTCTGTCATCCGCAGCTATCAATATGTCGCAGAGACTGCTTTTCCATCTCATAGTTGTGATGAGCTTTCAAATTTGTCTCCCAGCATTCATCCCTTCTTGGCTCAAGAGCAAAGTAAATATGGAATAGCCATTAATTATTGCTTTAACCACATCTAAGGCTCCGAATACCCTACTGTAGCCTCTGAGCTTCACTCAAAGAACTGCAAATGCAGAAACCAATGATAACCACCCTCCCAAAAAAATAAAATAAAAAAAAAATCTATTTCCCAAAAGGCACAGATGTAATTGTCAAAATCCTTTCCATAGCTCTGACCATCAATCCCACAGTTGTAAGAATGATGCTGAAGTTATAGAAAACAACCCAAAGATGGAACTATATATAATACTATGGTGAGTGTCCAATGGGACCCACAAGCATTTCTCAGCCCCCTGTTGTAGGGAGATTCCCATCTGCAATGGAACCCACAGCAGGATGGGACTCGGGACAACCAAAAGACAGGCATACACTCACGGTAGAAAACCACATGAACAGAGCAGGAGTGCAGGCAGAGCATGGCACATATCTTGATCTGGGTATTGAGGTGGAGGAGTACACGAGTTCTTTGAAACTCTTCCCTCTAAATAGTAACAAAAAGATTGCTATGCAGACATTAATATAGTTACTTGTGTAGGAGAAACATTGGGTTTATATGATTAAGCAAGCCAGAGGAAAAATACCCCACAGTTTAAACTCTCTCCCCTTGCACGTATTCAGTAAGGTTCTATGTATCTATATAATATGGAACTCTCACATTATTTAGCCAATAGGCTGTAATTAAAGATCAAGAAGCATTCCCACAGCTCAAGGTGCACACAGGCACTACATTCTATGTGTTACTATGACCAAAAAGATCAGTTTCTCAATCATACTGCAGCAGAAAAATAGTGCACATTTGCTAGAAATATACTATAACCAGCCCAAATTTTCTAGCTAGAAAACTATTCTTTACACTGTCTAAAGCTAAATTAACTTTTATACCTTTGATTCCCCTTAACTCTAGCTTCATCCCCAGTTCTGGTAAAGAAGCCAGCTAGTCAAAAGTATGTGCCCTTCTGGTGACAACTGTGGTTTAGGACAGCGGGTTTGAAATAGAACCAAAAATCTCCTTTCTTCTTCCTGACCAAATTCTTAACTTCCCCTGTATTTTCCTTCGCTTCACTCTGAAAAAGCATACAGTGATGTAATTTTTTATCACAGGACACAGCTTTCTTATTTTCAAAATATGATTTATAGGAGGACACCTAGGCAGAGACAAGCCTGCCTGCTTGCACTGCCCAGCTTGCCACAGCAGCAGCTCTGCTTAACAGCTGAAAACTACATTTTCAGCCACTAGTCCTTGCAACTTTTCAGAGCTCTTGCGTCAGCTACTACAGTCCTTGGAAACTCTTTCCTGGGAAATCTGTGCAACAGCTGAGAAATGGAAAGGGAAAAGTCTAAGTGACCATGTAAAACACACATCTGGGGACACAGCTTGTCATTATGGACATGGATGCATCTCAAAATAGGCTCAGCATCTGTCTCCATCAGCTCGAGGGCTGTAGGTAACATCTCCCCCACAGAGCTTATTCCAACCAGATGCTTGAATAGAAAGTAGGTAGAAACGAATGTCAGTGTCGCTCAAGCAGTGCCCAAACATGTGTTTATTCACACTGCAGACATCTCAACACTGTAGTGCTGTGCCTGTCCCCGACACTTCAAAGACGCCCTCAGAAGCCAGCGCTTTGTGTGGTGTGGCGAAGGCAACATTGTTCTCATTACCACTCACAGAACTCGTATCCAACCATTAAATTATATAGCTTTCATCTGTTTCTTAAGGAGACAAGGCTAATGTGATCATGCTGAGTGCATGCATGCGTGTGTCCATCCATATATCTCCCAGCAACATTTGAGCATCTGCCTAACTTTGATCACAGCTGGCAGAAGGTCAGAGACCTTGACAACACCAAGTTTCTGCAAGTTGTCAGGAAAATGGCACCTGGTCTGAGGGGAGGGAGACCTAATTACCGTTCCCAAGCAGAAAAAACTTCCCAGTTCACCCTTGGACTCCAAAGGATCCAGCATGAGTCACATCACCAAAAGAAACCAGGCCCTGCCAGCCCTCCAGCTCATTGAAGCAGCGCAGCACAGCACAGCACAGCAGCGAGAGCCACCATGAGCTGTGGCCTCCCACAAAGTAACCTGCTCTCCTGGGAACCACAGCTCTGCCTTCAGGAAAGAGCTTAAACAGCCCTTGGTCGATGCAGTTGCCTTGCATAGAGAGCAATTATTCTACAGAGCAACACCACAATGTTTCCCACCTGTGTCACCTCTGCAAGGTAGGAGTTCTCTGCCAAACTCAATATGCAATCTGAAGCATTGAAGGGTTCACACCATTGCTCTTAGGGACCACAAGGAGCCCTGACCTTAGAGAAGTCAACAAGATCTTCTGATTCAGAAAAACACAGAAGTGTAAAAGGCACAGGAAGGAGCTAATATAAAAAATGAGGTGGGGGGAGAGAAATTGTAACAGGACAGGATACTTTCTTGCAGACATCACTTCAAAAAGAAAGGAAGAGGAGTAACTTTCTTTGAAATTAGCTACAAAGATAATAATAAAAAAACAACCAACCAATGAACCAAAAAATTTCTTCCCCCCCCAGCTGCTCAGGGTTCAAACTTCACACTGTAAATAGATTTTAAATTAGGTCTCTTACCCTCTTCCCTGACTAGGATGTATGGTGAGCTGGGAGGTCACCCCATACATACACCATGATCTCACAAATACTGTAAAATCTCTCCAAGTCCTCTTTCTGGCCTAAGAATTACATCCTTCTTCTGTATGAATCAAGAACATTACAACCAGCAAAAGACTGACAGGTGTGGAACTTGGGTTGCATCAGAATTAACCTTACTGAATAAACAATCACTCTGGAAATGCTTTGGTTATAAACATAAATGTTATGTACATCTATATATACATGTGTACATGCAAACACCACACAGTGTCCCAACACAGTAAAAATGGTCAGTTGTTACACCTTTGTATGTCATGAATAGTGACATTCTCACTGCTGTCAGAAGAGTACCCTTTTGATCTACAAATTACAGAAGTAAACTTCAGCTATTTTTGATAAAATACAATGAATACCGCTTCTGGCAAGTGCACTACAAAAGCTAATATTTAAACAACAGTAGCAATAAAGGGTATTAGTTCTATCCTGTGGAAGAGATTTACATTAAGATAAAGACAAATCTCTTTTTTTTTTTCCTTCAGGAAAATCTGTGATTTAAGACAGCCACTCACAGTAGTAGTGGCTATGTTTTGTTTGGTGGTCTGCATAGCTGCTGCTTGGGCACACAAGTCCTAGCACAAACCAGAAGATTTTAATCTCCCAAGGCTGTCCTAGCTCTTGCTCCCTTTTGTTGTTGTTGTTGTTGTGATGTTGTCCCATTTTTGTTTATTTGACTATTTGTTTGGTGTTTTTTAATCATCTAATTAAAGCACCATGAAAACACATGAAGTATCATGGCACCCTGACTCTCCATCACTTCAGCTGTAGGCTTTGTTTTATTCCAGCATTAAATTAAAAATTTTCTTGACTGATATAAAAGCTAATTAAAAAAAATTAAAATTCTTATGTACGAAGTATTTTCATTTTTTCAAAAAAATACAAGAAGTTAAAAAAATATTTTTCCTTACTAAGTCCTCACAAAACTGTTTCAAAGAAAATTGCACAGAAGAATGTTTAAGCACTAGCAAAACCCACCCATATCTTAGGTTCTTCACAAGCCAGGGCACCCTAGAAAATAGTTCCCACCTAGTCTCCAGTAGGGAATGCTAGCCATGCTCACTGCCATTTTACTGTTGGAGTGCTGGCATTTCCCTGTACAACTGGTGCATCTTTCTATATAGTTTTAGCACCTCAAGGCCTAATCCAAGATATTTCAAAACAATGGTGTTCATTTTATCAGTTTCAAAAAGAGTTGGTCAAATATTTAGTGCAAGTCAAGGCATACCTCAACTATCGCACATACACTAAAGAACATCACTTTTGAAACTAGCTCCATAGTATATCTCAGATATATCAGCAAGGCTAAGTCCTTTAGCATAAACATTTTTTGTGAATTACATTTTAAAATGCATTGCAAAGAGCCAGACTTGGCTTTCAATTTAAATTATTTCACTGCTTTCAGTGAAAATAAGGAAAACAAAATCTTCCCCTCTGCTTCAGTGAAACCACAGTATATGTTGTAGCCAATGTACCTGACCTCCCAGGTAAAATTACATTGACCAAAGACAGACTGAAATTCCCTTGTCACACTGTTATCGCTCTCTAAGTTCATATGAAGTCCTGTATTTAAAAACAGCTTTGAAATTCCAAGGAAAACAAAAGGTTTTAGATTGTCTGATAAAGTGAAATAGCAAACAAACAAACAAATAAAAAGAAAGTAATTCTTGGAAGATGCAAGGATTAAAGTGCTCTTAAAAAAAAGAAAAGTGGCAGGTTTTGCCAAGACAAACCAGACTGGCTGCTGCTAAGATCAGAAGGCTTCCAGTGGCATGGGCTACAAAGCAAGCAAGGAAGATGAAAACAACTTGACAACTTGAAGAGATACCAGAATACTTTCACTTTGGGGAACAGTCACTTTTAACTGAGATACCTTTTAACTTAGCTGCCTTTTGTGGGAAAGCATGTAGAGAGGAAAGCTGCCCAAGCTATTGTATTTGAGTGAACGATGGACATGCTTATCCTACTTACACCAGAACTGGACCCATGCAACTTGGGACGGCAAGGTGTCTTCACTTTGCTTGTAGCTGAGAATACAAGCCCTTCACATCACAAAATCACCCTCCGTCTCAGAAGCTTAATTCACACCAAGCACTGGTGAACAGCAAGGGCGAATTCGTCTTCTGGATTCTATTTAATTGTCTTATTCCTCTGTGTGCAAGCAGAGCCAAAAGAGCTACACCAATGCATTACATTTATTATGTTCAGGGGGTTGTTGCCACAACTACATTAGCTGTGGGGTAAGATAAAACAGCATATTCCACTTCTGGTGCATATTTCCAGCTTAATTTT